TTGTAAAATAGTTTTAAAAAATCTAAGGATTACGAGTAAAAAGAATTCATATAAACAACAATGAGGAAGATATAAATCAAAACAAAAAAGAATCAAAATTGGGCTTTTAACAATGAGAGAATTAGGATAAAACGCAAAAAGCGCATTTTTATTCGAGCGGTTTTTCTTGGCGGAAAAAGTCAGATGAAGCAGAATTGATTTGGATTATGCAGATTATTTGAATGAAATACGAGATGATCGTTTTAGTAAATTGCAAAAATATTACTGCAGAACGTGGAGAATCGCTGTTGCGATCGTCGCGGCTGTTTGTCATGATTTATACCTTTTGCGCGACTCCGCGATGCAAGAAATGTCGAATTAAACTTGGCGTAAACGGGGTAGCGAAGGTGCATGCTAATTAAGATATAACATTGACTAATGACTGCTAATCCTAACGCGCATAAATGAAATATAATTCACCCTGCAGCGGGCTATATTACGCCATAGTCGGTTTATACGCAGCGCACTTACTTTCACAGGAACGTGCCTGGTGATTTAAGTATCCCCCGTTAATAAGGACAGCTACTATACGTCGGAATAAGCGTGTCCGATGCGATTTTTAACTATTATTAATTTCACGAGAGTTCCCTCGAGCCGGATTGCGCTGTTGGATGCGTCGACGAGAAATGACTTGCCTCTTTTAGACGAATTTGCATTTGAATAAAGTTAATTTATAAGATGTATGAATAATTTTATATGAATATAAAATTATTCACTCTTATGATATGTATACAAAATTTTAAGCTTTTTTGTCGTTATGAATTTTTTAGTTTATGATATAATTTACAAGTGATTTCTTTTAACAAAAATATGGAACATTCTTATAACTTTTAAGTCGTAAAAAGTTATAAGCACAGAAAATTTAGAAGTTATAATTTAAGAGTAAATGTAAAAAAATAAGAAAATTTTATTTTTATTTAATTGTAATTATTTTTTACTTTAACGGAACATTAATATGCCAGACCTATTAAATAGTTTTGGTTGAATTAAGCCGTTTGCTTGCATCTATAACAAGTATTCATTACGCTTCCCCATTTGTGTCGCGACGATGCTTGAATAATAATTTTATTCACCTCTTAATAGATTAGAGAATCGCGATCAGTCGCAAAAAAACATTGATCTATCCAATGTTATGTAAGAGACATCTATTTGGTCCCGTTTTCTTCGACTTTGACGGAAAACCCGCGGTTTCTACGCCGCAAAGTTTATCTTGCCTGCCGTCCCATTTTCCTTTCGCAAGAAAGAAAAAGAAAGACGAAGAGCGGAAGAACCTCAGAAAGTTTCGGCGGCAGAAGAGAGGAGGATCCAAGAAGTGCTCTCAGCGTGGAAACGAGAAAAATCACGGGAAGCGCGCGAGCGTGCGCGAGCAGTGCGCCGCATCTCAAGGATTTCTCGGGTTAAAGTCACCGAAATCCCGGCCGGGCAAACGAAATTAGGAACACGATGAACTGGTCCTTTGCGAAAACTCAGCTCTGAGAAGGAAAGCTGAGACTAGTCTTGTTAGAATCCGATAAAATTTTTCGCGAATACGTTGGACGCTCCTATGTTGAAACACGCGACAAATTATTTTTTTTTCTCTTTACTCTTCTCTCTCTCTCTCTCTCTGTCTTGCAAAATGGACCAATTAATCGAATAATCGTAATCATTTAGAGAAAACTGCATACAATGTATAAAAGATAGATATGAACTAGTTTTTCTGCGATTAAAAGGTTTAAAATTGAAGTTGATTGACTTAAAAATCGATAAGGTAATAATACTTTTTTCAAATCACTTTATCAAAAATATAAACATTTCATAAATGATTCTATTATTTTATCTGAGTAATATGTATAAAATTTTAACACAATTCTCTTATATTTAAAAGTTATTAAATTTTGTGTTTGCTTTGATTCTTATCAAAACAAAATCACGTTTTGTAGTATTTGTGCAAATTTAATACGAAAAGTGAATTAATAAAATTTTTTATATTTATTAATAAAACTCTAATAAAAATTTTTGCGCGAAAGTTTATTTAAAGCCACTTACTCGTTTAAAAGTTGTTTACCTAAAACTGTAGAAAAACATGGTTATTGCGCAATGTGCAGCATAAGCCAGCCAAATTTGTCGTTTTGTTTTTGCAGTTAGTTTCAGGGCTTATTTATAACCAAAATTTTTTGGCTAAAATTAACTGATATTGACTTTTTTGGCTAATCTTTTTGACTGATGTATTTTTAGCTAATATTTTATAATCAGAACATCTTTAATGCTATTAAAAGTGTACCGCTATATTTTTATATTACATTTATATAACAAATTTTAGTTAATATTTTATTCAGTTAGTATTCTATTTTCTTACAAGAATTTAACTTTATATCATTTACTAAACTTGTCAAGATTAAAATATTTCGTTTTTGCTCTTCTAAGTAGAAATAAGAATTTTAATTTTTCACGACATAACAGTTTTGATATGACAGATAATTTTCTCACATTGTACAGGTAAGCTATTTTGTGTACGGAAAAATTGCAGGAATTATGGAAGTATTATTTTGTACGAAGTTATGAAGCTCATAAGAAAATGCAAAAAATAAAAAGATAATGAGATATGATTGTATACTGAAATAATAGTAACATTATTATGACATCTAATACATTCACGTATAAATATTTTTCAACACCGTGGAAGTAAATTAATTATATCATTAAAATGCTGGATTTTCAAAGAAGCTATCGTATTTTTTAACATTGGAAGATACATAAATTCAACTGAAGTATTAATAATAAAACTGTCTAATAAGGATTTTCAATTGGCTCTGCATTAGTTTTATGCAAACCACACCGAAATAAATAGTTAATATATGAAGACTTTATCAGCGAGTGGCTTTGTGAAAATCGTTTTTAATTCAAAGCGATCATGTACAAATGGCGTCCATTAACGCGAAATCGGATGGCCTGGTAATCGTGCAACTGTCCGTGCACGGTATATTGCCAGTTCTTTATACACGACGCGACGCATTGTCAGTTTTGCAAATTAAAAATATTCAGTTAACGGTCGCGAAAAAAGGAAAACAATCGGCGTGCTTGTTTTCAACATCAACGAGATAATTCTTTCTCATCCACCTTTGCAAAGGCCGTGTCCAGGTTACGAGTCCCGCCATTCTCTACGTCTCCCTTTTCTCCCTGAGCCCAGGGAGATTGCTTCTGGCACCCTGCTCAGAATAACAAATATAAACCGACGATTTGCAACTGCTGACGTAAAAGGGACCGATCCCCCGCGGCCACCGCGCATGCATATATCCCGAAATACAATTTATAGATCCCATTATATATACACGTATCGTAGGGATGCTGGTATAGAGTTCAGAATTACGATAAAAAGAATTTAAAAGAGGAAAAATAAGTACAATCTTCATTTAGCAATTACACCGAATAAATAGACAGATAGCTCCAATAATAATATTTTCAATAAATAGAAAGAAAGATTATTATCATATAATTTTGAGATTCTTGTTTAATGCCTGTATCAGGCTACAAAGAAAAAAACTTTTATTGAAATAAAAATTTAGCTAGATACAAATCTGAAAATTAATTTTGTTGGATTATTAAAATAATTATGAATATGTTAATTGTAAATTTAGTTGCTAAAATATTAAAACTTTTTACTATATTACTCATCATGCTTAAATTTCTTATAATTATTTTTATGGTCTAACAAAATTATTTTCAGATCTATGTAAATTTTTAGATAATTCAGCAAAATTGTTTCTTTTAGACATTGAGATTGAAATTCAGATTGAATTTGATCAATCAAAGCAAAGATCACTAAACTTGATATTAATTTTTTTTCTTTTAATTGGTTAAATTCGATCTGAATCCCAATCTCTAATCTGACACGGGCATTAGAGTAAACAATTTCGCGAGCAGCACCGATAGCCAATTGGATTCACATGAACTAGTCAAACGCGTCAACAAGAATCTCATGCTTGTCTCTTACTTAGTCATTCGTTCGTCGTTGTTGTGATGTTATAAATGTACAGAATCAAACGGATTTCAATTCGGTAAGAAGAACAAATTAATATTGATATCAACATAGTAAAGATTAATAAAGCTGCTAATTCTGTCAAGTTGACTGAATAGTTGCAATATCGAACTTTTCTTCAATATCTCTTTTTTCGCGAAAACGTTGATGTTATTTGTTATAATTTTTAGTACAATAAAATCGCCGACGCGTCAACATTGCGGTTCATTCCATCGAGTTAGAACCCGAATCCTTTTTCTCAAGACGACGCTAGCAGTTATCATTTATATAATAACTGTTATGTATTATTTTTAGTTTTGTGACATTTTATTTCTTCGATTTTGTGTCACTTCTTGTATTATAAGTTAACGATTTGACAAGTGTATTTCTCATTATATATATAAATTCATTGCTTTCTAGGAAATGCAGTTACGGTTCCGTAATATTAATTGAGAGCTACTTACGTAGTGAAACTTTATAAGATTATTCCGCGTTATCAAATTACTGGATTACGTTGATTTGTGTGAAATTCAATCGAAATATAATTTGTCAAATACATTGAACGATATTTAAAGTCCTCTCAGTTGCCGTGACCTTGTTAATTAGCTAGTAAACATAAATGTGCTCGCTTTCGCGCAACCTCATTCCGCTTGTATTATTCAAACATTTTAAATTTTAAGTATTTACATTTTTAACCATTTTCTCCTAATTACTGGACATCTCTAATTTTAATAAGAAATTTATTGTAAACGTTGAATTCTTTTTTCTTTAATTATTCTTTGATTATATTTTTCTATTATTTCTTGTCATTTTCTATTCTGTATAATAAATATTTCTTTGAGAGAGAGTTCACTCTAAAAGTCCTCTTTCCTCTTATCACATTTCGCATTAAGTCTAAGTTATTGAACAAGATAATTCAGCGAAATTTAATAGGTTGATTTCCGACAGGCGATACAGCGTTGTGACTCTGGAAACGAATAATTTGATAAAAGACAAACGATCTTTTGTTAATTATTTAAAATCAAGACGTAAAGAAGTCTAAAATAGGCACGTAAATAAGTTTAACATCGTAATATTTGTATATTACGATGCAAATATTAAGGAGCATTATTTTCACAACTTTATTAGGTAAGATAATTAATATCATTGCGTTTTATATATATTTATATGTATATATATAAAAAGATAATAATGAATATATAATTAATATTAGCAATTAATTTATTATGATTAAAAATTGGTTTTTTAATTCAATTAATTTATTAAAAATAAACTTCTAAAATGAGACTTGAAAGAATAAAATTAATTCTTTAATAATTCTTGATGAGAGGATAAAATTAATTCTTTGATTACATTCTGATATAAAGAGATATTTTTATCAATAAAGAGACATTTTATCAATATTTTATGCAATAAATTATCAATTATGTTCTTTAGTTTCTGTGACTGCATACGTGCTAGCAAAGGAAGATGTGAATTATAAAACATGGAATAAAAACAACGAATTTATAGAATACAATGGAAAGCACAAAAATTACACTGACAGCAACAAATCCAGACTTTATAGAAAAGACACTGTAATAAGACGATCTCATTACGCGGATCCCTTGCATTTATCAATGGATGGGAGCACTTGGCAATTAATCTTTTTGATAATAATAAGCATGTTGATATTCTCATATTTGCCAATTTATCTCAAGTAAATAACGATTTCTCTTCATATTTACGTTTATATGCTATTAATTTTATAATCAATTAGTTTTATATATAAGAATGATTTACAATATAAATTAAGTATTAAAGACTGCACTAAAAAAGATTTTAGGACACGAAATATAATAATATTAAATATTTATTATTTTAGCTTATTATTATAAACAATTAACAATAAACAATTAAATAATTATTATAATAAAAACAAATAAATAAAAAAATAATTAAGTATAAAATTAATAATATTAATTTAATTTAGGCTAAACTATTATTAATACTGAGAAATTATTATTATTTCCAAATAACTAGAATATATATTAATTATGTTAAACGTTTTTTGTTTGAATAGAATGAGTACGAAATTTTGGCCTGTTTTTGCAAACTGGTCTTTTGATATTTTGAAGAATTATTTCTCTTTCTGTAGACCTTTAATTGCGGTTATGACTCGCAATTCAAGGGATAATATGTATCAAGAAGTGTATCAAACATATAATGTGAGTAAAATGTATAATATGTGTGTGTTGTGCTATATATCATCATCCACAGAAGAATTAGTTAATGATAGATATTTGTATATTATAAATATGTATATGTATAATATATGTATATAAATATATGTATATATAAGTGAATATAAATATGTATTTATATACAAATGTTTGCATATATCAAACAAAATTATTATTATAAATATATATTTTAGAATAATAATTTTTTTTAAATATGCATGATGATATTTTCTTGTGTGTATATTATAAATTATGTTTAATTTTATTTTTTTTTATTTTTTTTAATTTTTTAAATATAAATTAATATTATTAATAAAATTTTTTAGCTGCCAGTGGGATTCGTTTAAATAAAGCATTTTAGATTAATGCTATTGCAAGCTAATACAAGGTGTCACGTAGTGTATGGTACCTATTACTAAACATATTAACTTTGTCAACTTTGTGCAATATCAAAGATTTTAATGTGATACAATTAAAATATAAGTAGACTAAAAATATATATCAATGACTGATCAAATAATCTTAGTAATAAATATTTTTAGTATTTTTAATTTATGTATTTTTAATTTAAACTTTATTTCCAGCTTAATTAAAACAAAATAAAAATTAGTTCTTTTAACTTATTTCTTTTAACTTATTTCTAACTATTCTAACTTATTTGAACACAAATTATTTATATTACTACTGTCTTAAATCATCATAATATAATTTTTATATTATGATGATTTAGGTAAGTAGCCAAAATGAACTCTACTAAGGATTGTTAATAGATTGAAAAATCGAATTTATGCTTTAAAAATAATGATTCTATGCATATTGATATATATTTTTAACTGCATTGCATATATTACAATAATATTAAGTCTAAATCTAAAATTTGTGCAAGTACGTATAATTTTAGTATTTTAGATTTTTAATATTATGGTTTATAGATTGATACATTAATATAGTAGTTTGTATACATATTACAGATATGCATTTTTTTAATCTGACAAACATTTTTTATAAGTTATATTTTTTTATAAATCATATTTTTTATAAACTATTTTGTACATTAAAATTGACAATTATATACTACACTCGTATATTGTTTATGTTCTTAATGTTTATTGTCTTTTTTAAACGAATACAATAGAACTAAAATTTTATAAGACTTATAAAAAACTAATTTATATTTTTCAAAGATAATTTCTTTTTTAGTGTCTTTTCTTAGAAAAAATATTAAAGAACAATTTTCAAGTTGCAAATGAGTAAAAAAGAAGAATCTTTTAGCAGTTAACCCTCGAAATATTAAAAATAAGATAAAATTATATCATACATTTAATTTCAAGTAGAATTTGCTAATTTTAACTTGAAATGTAATCACAAAGAGGGAATACAAAATCTATAACGTACAAAATTAGAAAGTGTGTTTTATAATAAATAAATTTCTTTTCTTGATATTTGTAGTATTAGCTAAATATCGAATATAATATTAAATTAGTTTTTAAAGAATTTCTCATTAAAAAGATCTTTGGTAGTATCAAAACATATTATATAGTTATAAATCAAGAGGCATGCTTTACAAGCGAAGTAAAGTCAACCGCGTACATTAACGTCATGCGATTGATTATCAAATGTAGACACGGTTATTATATACAATGTATTGCAATAACGACGGAACTAATTTAAACTTCAATTTAATGCAAAAGATTTTTCAAGTCCAAATTTATTTTGCACAAAATCCTTTTACTTTAAATATTTTATTTACGCGAAATTATATTATAATATTAAGAATATAGAACAAAGTATTTTGTTATATGTGATATAAAATAAAATAAATATCTTGCTGCACTCTCTCTTCTCTTTGGCTGTACAACTTTTCACGTCACATCGTAGTATAAGAGAATTATATTCCACGGTATGTATAATTTTCCATTCCTAAATCGGCACAAGTTTCTTATATTGTTACTTTTGTACAGAACCAAAAATTTAAACAAGAGACAATTATAAAATATCTCCCTCTTGTTGATATAATAAAGTAACATTTCTTTGTACAATAGTTTCTCTCTCGCGTACTGAGTCTCTCATTTTTACCTTTTCTTTTTTTTGAAAAGTTCGATGTAACGCTGAAACCTGTCGATCAGTCGCACATCCGTGCTACGTCATGGAACGAGATTGCATTGGTCCCAATTGGTCCTGGCTTTGAACGTTATTCCCGATTCGTCCTTTGAGCCGGTTGACGTCTGAAATCGTATCATGCAACGCAGGCAGAATGCGGCGCGCACCCGAAATGTTGCAGAATCGGTTTAACCTCTCTGTCGGGAGGGCGCGACTGCCCTCGAAAAAAAAGAGACACTTTACCGAGTAGCCAGGCGGTTCTGATAGTGGCAGTGCTTGTTATTCGCGGTGAAATTACTTGTACCACTCAGCAAGATTGAAGGAAAGATCTTTGATACCGCGATTCCGCCATCCACACCTGAACGCGGTATTTCGCGTCTGTCGCACGACTAGACGGGCAAAGAGAATCTTTTTGATGTGCGGCGTGGCGCGTTGCTATCCCAGCCGTATTTGCATCGCACCAACCAACGAATGAAATTTTCATCGCTGATTTACGAGATCAAAAGTATCTTCCATAATGATATGTGTACGTGCATCGATTTCTCGCAAGATATCGCATGGAATATATAAGTAAAATACAGGTAAAATTACATGTTTCTCTTTTATATATTGTGTGGGTGAAAATAAGTGATCTTAACTCTAGAATGCTATCGATATGTAAATTTTACATATAAGAGAGTGAGATTGTTGAACGTAAAGTTATATTTTCATTGGTTATTAGGAGATTTAATCTATAATATTATGCTAAAAACTAGGACAAGTGGAGATCATCTAAAAATTCTGTCTGTTATATATTAATTTGAACTTCCTAGCGATCAATATTATAATAGGAAGCATAACAAAACTAATTTCAGTGTTTTACTAAGCAGTTTTGTATTATTTTGTGTTATTATATATTTAACCCTTAAGTAGACGTACTGGCAAACTCATATAGCGATTGAAGTGGCTCTGGAACTTCCCTCCGCCAAGAAGACTAACCACTGGATCATTCAATTCATTTTTTACTCTGTATTGTAATTTTTATCCTTTTAGGCGGATTGGAAGTCTATCCAAGAGATTAAGAAGAAAAAAAAATGGCTTTAATCTTATGCACCTACTAAATATATGAAAAGATCTAAATATATGAAAAGACACATACACAATTATATTACATATTATTTTGTCGTTAAAAGTGTGGAATGTATGAAAAACTCATTTACATTAATTAAGAGTGGTCTATTTTCTTGATACGTAAAATTTACGATAGCAACTTATCAGTCAATAGCGATTACATTTCTAGGGTTAAGATATACCTCGATTTTTTAGGACAAAATTAAAGTTCGATTCATCTAATACTAAATTCTATAATTAATAGATATTATAATTTATCTTTATTTTTTAATAAGTAAAGAGAACAATGGCCCCAGGCATTTATATCTGGCCAAACTCATTGTCCCTTTTATTATTCATTTAATTTTTTAATTTTTTCTAATTTTAGATATTTATTTTTTATTTTATTTTTTTGAATATATTGAGAATAACAAGAAATTTTTACATATTATATGTCTTAGAAATGTCACATAGTTTCTAAAGTTTAGTTTTACCAAAGAAACAATACAATACGTCTGTTATTCGACAATCGTATAACATTTCAAGTTTTTCTCTCACGTTGAAACGCGAAACTGAAATGATAGTTCGTTTCGTCACAAGCGATACTAGTAAAATTTTACTGGTAAATTCATAAATTCCTTCACACATAGAAAAATCAATTGGAATAGATGTATAACGGAAAATAAATCTTCGACATAAACGCAAAGTGAAATCCGTTGACTGCGGTTTTTTGAGGATAAAACTATTTAAAATCGCTGTAGAAGAGTTAAAACGGATGGTTTTATAAAGATTAAATGCCGGATATTATTTCAGATATCTTTGGATATTTCGAAACATAAAGAGCAGGCGAGAGAGATAAGTGCGGCGTCGTTATCATTCCGCTTGTAGCCGCGGTTTGCTCGCGGCGAAATCGGTAACGCTATCACGTACGGGAGCATTCCTGATTCCGGCGGCCACGGCGGTTTCACGTCATATCCAGACGAAAATTGGGAAATGCTCCTAATTTTCGTCGGCGCAGCCGCGTGCAACATTTCATCGCCAACGCTGGACCGATGCTTACAACGGTACATACCATCGCAAGTTGATTGCGCACGTTTCGCATTATCGCGCGATCATTGGGGAATAACGTTTGCCCTGTGCTCGTTGGCAGCTGATAATCGCGTCTCGCGAGACTGTCGAGAGCGAACACAAGAATATCAAGTGATGAGATATAATTGCGACACATATTTAATTTTACTAAAGAGGTAATTACCTCGTGGTTTAAATTTAATTGTTTGCCCGCAAATTTCTACATCATTCGTACTATTATGAATGCGAATATGCATATATGTCAAGTGAACTTTAGGGAATTATTATGGAACGATAAAAAGCAACATAATGACAGTTAATTTTATATGTAGAGAGAGGGAGGGAATTATAGAATATTTTGTTTTATAGAGAAATATAATATACACAGTAGATATTCATGTGACATATCTACTTTTAGTACAAATTTGTTAGCCACAGCGTGATACCAATTATGCTTTAGGAGGAAGTTTTTCAGACATATAAAACAAACGAATTTATAAAAAATAGAAGAAAACAGAAAAAAATAGAAGAAAAAAGATTATGTGGTTATATTATAGAATAAGAAGGAAATATGGAATTATCAACTAGTATACAGTATATATAATTTTGCATGTAAGATACATATTTTGTTACCAAATTTAGTTGAATTATATTATTTGAAAGTCATATTTAAGGCCTCCAAATTAGGCTAAAATTACAAATTGGTACCAATATACTTTTCAAAATTACGTGAAGAGTACACAATTATAGTTATATTACTGTCTGCTATCTACAAAACTACAGTAACGCAATATATACTAATAACTAGTGGCTATGTTATAAGTAGACGATGAAGTAATTTTGATGGATGTCTCCAGAATGCACCGTAAACTATACAAGCCTGGATATATCGTAATATTTCACAGCCTAATCTTCCACTATTTAAAAACTGGCTCTTTTCTTTCAGGTATAACAATAACCACTAATAATTTCTAATAACTGCTGTAAACGATTATGTACAAGATTTGAACCAGGCGAGAAAGATATTTTTCCACTATAATTTTCTGGACTCAATATATCCTTGACAAAGGAATCAAAGATCTAATAGATT